ATGCTAAAACACACAAAACAAAGTTCTGAAACCAGTCTGGTTCTGGTTCTGGTTCTGCTGTGAGCTTCTCCCAGTTGCTTCTCTTCATTGTCACCTTGTGCTTGCTCCGCAGCTGGAAAATTAACGGACAGATTTATTCATAAAGAGCTTGGCTATTATTCATGTTGACCCGGACCGACACCAGGTGATTTCATCCCGCTGTCCTGTGATTGGCTGCTGCAGAAGCTCGGTGTCTGCAGGTCCACTCAGGTGCTCTGATCCAAACCGTGGAGATAAAGTTCAGACCCATTCTGAGTAGGATTTGTTTGACCCAAACCTTCCCACCAGATCCAGATCTACAATCCATTGAATTTATTAGTTTTCAGTTAAACAGCAAAACAAACAAAATATTATTTTATCCACCAGATCAAACTTTCTTCCCCTCAACGCACGAGTAAAGGCAAGGCAAAGCTACAAACTTTATGAAAATAAATAAAGCAAGATTACAAAAATCAGTGCAGATTTAATAACATTGTCTTAATGCATGGCTATAGGCCACTCATAAATATACATCAATAAATCCATTTCAATTATAACATCAGATACTGAGAACAGTTCCAGCTACATCGCACCAAATCTACATTCTGAACAAGAATATGTTGTAAGATTTTCTATTTCTGCAGTGATGTTTGAGATTACAGATTAGGATTAGGGTCACTGAATAAAATAATTCAGAGAAAACATCTTACACTTGAAATAAGACAAAAAATAACTTACAGGTAACTTTAGCATCTTTTCAGTCAATAATTCCTTAATACTGATGAACAGACCCGGCTTCACTTTCAGATTATTTCACCTACAAGACATTTCCCATGTTTTCAGTTCAATAATCTGCCAGAGGAATAAGTACTTTTTATCAATATTGACGAATTATTGACTGAAAACAAACTACATGTTACTTGTCAGTTACTTTTGTCTTATTTCAAGAGTACAAAAATATTTGCTCTAGAAACTAGACCAAATTTTTTTAATTTACATTTTTTGTGTGTTTTTGCAGTGCTGAAGGTCTGAGCAGGTACACTGCAAATTTAACCAAGTATTTATGGTCTAGTTTCTAGTGCAAATATTTTAGAAATCAGACTAATTTAACATACATGTAACCTTTTAGTGTGTTTTTAGTATTGAAAAAATAAAATGTTGCTGCACACACTGAAAACAGTGAAATAATCTGCCAGTGGAACTACAACTTTTTCATCAATATCAAGAAATTATTCACTGAAAACAAGCCAAGTGAAACTTACTTTATTTGTAAGTTAGTTTTGTCTGATTTAAAGGGAACTAAGATTTTTGAAGTTGAAACTAGACAGAAATACTTGGTCAGATTTTGCTTTTGCAGTGTAGCTCCATGTTTCCTCTCAGGTCCTCCAGGCGTCCCGTCTTGTTCATTTGATGAAACCAGTTCGCCTCCCAGTTCCTCCAGTACATCCCAGAGCCGTGGATGGAGGGAAACTCGGACCTGCTGGGATGAAGAATCCCGTCTCCATCCTGGTTGGAGGAGATGAGAGGAACCTTCTGCTCTCTGGCTTCCTGTCTGCTGGGATTACCGTAATCCCACCTTAACTCCTCACAGCTGAGAGTCAGACAGGAACAGGTGGCTGCTCCTCCTCCTCCTCCTCCTCCTCCTCCTCCTCATTCTCCACACTCTCTCCTTGCTCAGTCTGGCTGATCTCTGCTCTGCTGCCGGTTGGGATGAAGTTCAGCAGTCCACCTGACTCGCTGGTGCGCTAACCGAACCCAGAGCTCCGTCTGTCAGGCTGCAGAACAGGAAGGATCAGAGGAGGGGCGTCGCTCCTACTGGGAATAATGGGAGCTTCTTATGGGAAGAAGGTGAGTGCTGCTCCAGATTCTCTGAGTTTACCATGAAAACCAGCTGGCGGCTCTGAAACGCTCCATGATTCAGTTTTAAGTAAATATTGACGGGCAGCAGAACCTGAACAAAGCGCTGAACTTTGGCTCTGCAGGTGGAGCTCGGCTCAGAGCAGGAATCTGATTAATGATCCGTCAGTTTCTGCTGCTTACAGGATCAGGAATCTGAGGGCCAGTCTGCTGGAACGGAGCTCATAATCAGGTTATTTCTGCATGAAGTCAGCTGAATCTGGGCCGACCCGAACGCGGTTCTGTCTGGGTTCGGTGGGCAAGAATACAACGTTCAGCATGTTAAACAGGAAGGAAAATGACAATATTTCTCATCATTCTCCGTAACATATGTAGAGCTCAAGCAATTAATCATGACTGATTACTGAAATAATCGTTAACTAATTTAGTAATCGATTAATCGTTAACTGGAGTACACAGACGCAACACACACAGAGCTGCAATTAAGCTAAAACTCTACAAAAAATATTAATATTTTGCAATAAGATAACAAAAAATGTCAGCAAATATATCCAACTCAGAACTGGTCATTGGGAGGGTTGTCATTTTCTGTAAAATAATCTCTTATTCAGCACCAATTATTAGTCAATAAATATAAAAATAATCAACAGATCAGTTCAACACTATTGATTTTGAGATGATATCAAAAATACTTCTTTTTAGCTGCAGATGCTACAAATAATCAAAGGAATGTGATGATGAATCAATAAAATGTTTATTTTCTTATTTAAGGAAAACAAGTTATGTATTTCTAACATTGTATCAAATAAACTATCATCAGAATAAGCTATCAATTTGACCATTAATCAATTATTCTGCCGATTAATCGTCAGAATTGATTAATTGAAACAATCATTAGCTGCAGGCCCAACCGTGTGGCTGGATTTGAGTCTGACTGTCTGGCTGCTCTTCATCTCCCACTGGGACTCAAACCAGCAGCCTCAGAGCCGGGCTCTCTGGTGGATTACATCGACCAATCAGAACCACCCAGCAGCTTCCTAGTGGTTCTGCTTTGTTCTACTGGTTTTTATGGTTCTACTGGTTCTGCTGAGTTGCCCGTAGCAGAACCACCTGCAGAGGAAGCCGGTCCATTTGCACTCCTGCAGCAGAACTCAGGCCGCTCCTCCGCCCGCTGCTCTGCTCAGAAACTCGACCCGAACCAAATATGTGAGGTATGAGGAGCAACGCACCTGTCCGGCTGGGAGTAGCTGTTGCCATGGGAACGAACAGCTGACGGCAGCGCGGGCAGAGGTGGAGCAGCTCGGGATCATGGAGTGCTCTGGATATTTTTAGGTCAGCGTTCCCGTCAGCTACAGGAATGTTCCAGGGTCAAAGGTCAAAGAGAGGAAAAACAGACTGATTTATACAGATCAACGGCCGGGCCAGGAGATACAGGTTACTACAGGTAACTACATGAAGCAGTGACGTGCGGTGAGGTTCATTGCTGGTGAGCCACTGACTTATGACTTAGACACCATGCATGTTATTGGACCTACGGAAATTT